CCACAACGCCCGGCTATTTTTTGGTTGCAGCCGTCATTGTTGTTTGGCGGGTCCGGGCTGGGGATTTGAACCCGCCACCTTAGGTGTACGTGGCTGGCACCTTAGCTGGTTGAGCTATAGGCGCCGAGCCAACGCCTGGTATTTTTGTTGTTGTTGTAGTTGTCATTGTTTTTAGCAGGTCTGGACCAGCTTTGAACCCACCAGCCCTGGTGTATGTGGCTGGTGCCCTAACCACTTAGTTACAGGTGCTGAGCCTGGTCTAGGAGTCTTGTGTCTACTGTTAGCACCCATGACACTGTCTTGTTAGTTTGCAAGTAGGGTAAAATCTCAGCCCCTTCATAGTACTGACATTACCCCTCCCTGCCAAGCCCTCCTCCTCAGACTCACGCTAACGATGGCCTCCTTGGTCTGTGTCATGTCAGAGATGACTCCATCGGTGATGATGAGCAGAACATAGTACTGGGAACCATCAGAAATCTTGGCTGCAGTCCTGGGTGAGAGGCCAAAGTCAGAATTTAGCTGAAAGGCAGACAGACTAAAGGAATCTTCTCCCCTCCTCTAAGTTTCAACAGCCAGCATGGGAACGAAAGTCAAGGCTTCTGAAGCTCATGTTCCTTCACTGGACCTGGCAGCCTGCCCCCGCCTGCCATCCCTCCAGAAATACTCATTGAGCACTTACTATGGTGGGAACTAGAGATACATGAGGAGGAAAAACAAATCCATCCAGCCCTGTGGAGTGAGGCAGACATTCATCCAAGGAGGTGTAAAATTACTACTAGGATAAGTGCTGTGATGGAAGGTGACACTGTGAACAACAGGGGATCTGAGCTGGTCCAGAAGGTCAGTAAAGGCTTCTTTAAGGAAGTAATGTTTGAAGATGGAGGAGAGCTAAGTAAAGTGGGCGGGGATGGGGGGGAGTCATTCTAGGGAGAGGGAACAGCATGGACAGAGGCCCTGTGGTGTGTCTGAAGGAAGCTCACTCTGTCTGGAAGTCAGAAAGTGAAGGAAGCAGAGTGGACCATGTGGCCGAGGGGGCACAGAGGCCTGACCACCCTGGGCTTCATCAACCCAGGGCAGGATACTGATGTTCTTACAAGAGCAAGAACAAAGTTTCCTTGCTTCCCTCTCTCACCCATTTCTTTTCTCTTTCTTCTCCCTCTGCTGACCATATCCCATTTTCCGGGCTGCTAGGTCCCCTGCGGTCCTCCCTCAGATAGGCTACAGCGGCTCCCAGAATTCCTTTTCCTTCTCTCACCAATCTCTGAATCCGAGATTTTCCCATCTCTAAAGGACTTCAGAAGTCGCTGAGTCCAGTCCCCTTATTTTACATGGAAGAAAAACAAGACCTAGAGATGGCACGAAGACAGCAACAGACCCGGGTCTCTTTACTTCTAGTCCCAAATCTTAAATGGATTGGAAAGGATAGAGCTGTGCTGTCCAATAATGTAGCCCTGGCTACATATGGCTATTATTAAAGAGAATTAAACATTCAGTTCCTTGGTCATTCTAGCTACCTCTCTTTCTCTCTCTTTTTTTTTGAAACAGAGTCTTGTGGTGTTATGCAAGTACAGTTCCATGGCGCCAGCTTAGCTCACCGCTAACCTCAAATTCCTGGACTCAAGCAGTCCACCTGCCTTAGCCTCCCAAGTAGCTGGGACTGCAGACATGCACCACCACTCTGGCTAATTTTTCTATTTTTGGTAGAGAGGAGGTTTTATTCTTAACCTGGTGTCAAACTCCTGTCCTCAAGCAGTCCTCCCACCTTGGCCTCCCAAAGTGTTAGGATTATAGGTGTGAGCTGCCACGCCTGGCACCTAGCTACCCTTCAAGTGTTCAGTATACATATGTGGCTGGTGAATACCATGTTGGACAACACAGACACAGAACATTTCCATTACTTTAGAAAGTTCTACTGGACAGTGCTGATCTCAAAAAAGTCAAAGGAAAGTCACGGTTAGAGTATAGAATTAAAACTGTGTTAGAAAGAAAAAAAAGGGGGTGGCACCTGTGGCTCAAGGAGTAGGGCGCCAGCCCCATATGCCAGAGGTGGTGGGTTGAAACCCAGCCCTGGCCAAAAAACTGCTAAAAAATAAATAAATACAAATAAATAAATAAATAAAAAATGGTTCTTTAAAAAAAAAAAAAAAAAACTGTGTTAGGCTCAATTTGCCCAGGGCCCAGAGTAGGGGTGGGTCATAGTCTTCTATCACAGTCCTTGCCTCACTCCTGAATTCTGGCTCCAGCCTTTGCATAGGCCTGGCCTGGTACCTTCTCTCATTCATTTCACAAACAGTCACTGCATACATGCTGTGTTGGTCACCAAACCCACCTTGGTGACCAACACGGCATGTTGGTGCTAAACATGCAGCACAGAATAGGGTGTTGTCCTAGGGGAGACAACTGTTTAAACTACTAGAATGCATTGAGTTTAAGGCTTTGATGACATAACATTTAACCTAAGACTTGAGAAATGAGTAGGATTTGGCATGGTGATAGTGGGGTGGGGTTGGGAGGACAGGCAGGTAGAAGGACAGATGTTCCAGGGAGAGAGAATGGCAAGTGCAGACCGCGAGAGTAAGTTCTAGGAGTTGTGTGTAGATCTACAAAGGAGAATGAGAACGGGGGCCATGCACATCACTCTTCAGTTTGGGAGCATGGGACGTATGTCTTTAGTTCTCTGTAGGTGTCTTGCATTCCAAGGCCATTTAAATCTGGACATTGGCAGAAGAAATGGGTGACCGGCCAGGGGAGGCCAGTCAGTACCTCACTTGGCTATAGGGTGGGAAACAACAAAGAATTCTTTTTTTTTTTTTTTTGAGACAGAGCCTCAAGCTGTTCCCCGGGTAGAGTGCCGTGGCATTACAGCTCACAGCAACCTCCAACTCCTGGGCTCAAGTGAGTCTCCTGCCTCCACCTCCCAAGTAGCTGGGACCACAGGCGCCCGCCACAACGCCCGGCTATTTTCTGGTTGCAGCCGTCATTGTTGTTTGGCGGGTCCGGGCTGGGGATTCGAACCCGCCACCTTAGGTGTACATGGCTGGCACCTTAGCCAGTTGAGCTATAGGCGCCGAGCCAAAGAATTCTTTGAGATAATCAAAATCACAGCTGCATACTTGACATGTGTGATATAATTTAATCCTCATTGCCATTCCATGAGGTAGGCATTGTTTTTGTTCTTAATTTTAAAAATGAGAAAACTGAAGTTTAGAAACATTTATAAAGGTGGGCAGAGCAGCTCACATCTGTAATCCTAGCACTAGGAGGTCCAAACGAGGCAGTGTCCATAGCACAGTGGTTACTTGCACTGAGGGTGGCAGGTTCAAACCTGGCTGGGGCCAGCTAAACATCAATGACAACTGCAACAAAAAAATAGCCGGGTGTTGTGGCAGTTGCCTGTGGTCCGAGCTACTTGGGAGACTGAGGCAAGAGAATCGCTCAAGCCCAAGAGTTTGAGGTTGCCTTGGCACTCTACCTAGAGCGACAGGTAGATTTTATTTTTTTTTTTAATTAGCTTGGTGTGGTGGTGCATGCCTATAGTCCCAGCCACTTGGGAGACTGAGGCATGAGGCTCACTGGAGCCCAGGAGTTTGAGGTTGCAGTGAGCTATGATGATACCACTGTACTCTAGTAGCCAGGGCAACAGAGTGAGATCTTGTCTCAAACGAACAAACAAAAAAAGTAGCATCCCCAAAGGCTATGCTTGAACAAAGCCCATCCTCAAAGCCCATGCTTGAACAGCTGATCCTAAAGCTCAAGCTCTCCATCCATCACTCTGTTCCCAGTCTGTTCTCTGGATATTCTGCCATATATGAGAGCACTCTGGAAAGTATCCACCCTTGTGTGTTTCTGTTTTTCATAGTACATAGCTGGATACTTTCTGGACATTCCTCATTGTATTAAATTTATCACTGTTTCCTGAACTTGTTCCTTCATACCTCTGTGCTTTTCACATGCCATTTCTGCTACAAGGTCTACTCTGCTCCTCTTTCTCTAATAAAGTCCACTTTGCCCTCTAGCCCCAACTGAGCAGTTCACTCTACAGTAGGCCCATATCTTCCCCCTTTTCTGCTCCCCCACTGCAGTAGGATACTGCCCAGCCCACAAAGCTAGGCTGTCTCTACTCCTCCAAGTGGGTCCTTACTGCATGATCTGGTGGATAAAGTCAGATGAGTATAAGTACATTTAAAACACCCTTTCTTTTTCCTAAATTAAACATGGATATGATGTGAGAAGAATATGAAATTTGCATAAATTTTTAAGATGAAATATGGAGACTTCAAAGACATTCTCAGCCTGGCTGCCTTAGGCTGTGCCCCTAGATTCCCCCAGGGGGATGCAGTCGCTTGCTTTTGCTGACAAGCAACTCACTAGAAAAGTCTGGGAAGCTCTCTGGCCTACAGAAGGTAATGATTTATTTATATTTCTGTCTCTTGCACCAAGGTGGGAGCTCCCAAGGGCAGCGACTAGATCTGATTCATCTGTGAGTCTCCAGTGCCCCAGCAGAGAACTGAGCACACAGCAGATGCCCTTTGAATAGTAATAATGATAATAATAGTAACAGCAACAGCTAACATTTACAGTACTTACAATGTGGCAGGCACTAAGTGCTTGACATCTATTAATTAGTCCTCACAACAACATTATATGTAGATGTTATTATTATTATTATTTTATAAATGAGGAATCAGGCACAGAGAGATTTCTTGACCAAGGCTATACAGCTAGTAAATGATATAACTAGGAATATTAGCTAGTCTGGCTCCTGACCCATGTGACATTGTCCCTTTACTAAATATTTACTAAATGAATGAATAAATGAATCAGTGTAGTTGCCCAAGATAATACAGTAGAACCTCCATAGTTGACCCCATCCCTCCATTGACCACTTCCTTAAATTGACCTAATTTTCATAGACTGGACATGCACCACATGTGTGTATCAGTACAGCAGGCTTAGTTCCTTATGTCCATCGCCACTGTATGTTAACTAGTTTGTCACAGTCCCTTGGGTGGTCAGCTTACAGAGGCTTTACTGTATTTAAGAAGTCTGCTTAATAACAAAAAATATGCTTAGGTTCCCGCATTAGTAAAAAAAGGTAGTGAAATGTCGGATGTAATGATGTTATATGCAGTGAAATATTAGATGTAATTTGGCTGTAATAATGGATGCACGTGGGAAAGACTGTCAGGGACTATATACATCCACATTCCCATGGGCAGTGTCGGGGTGATTTCTTCATTTCTCTATCCTTAAGATTCTCTATAGCAATGTTATATTATTTTTACAATTTTAAAAACTATTACTGTCATTATGAATTAGAACATAAATCTTTATGAGGGAAAAAGGAAGCTTGTGGATATAGAAATCTCCCTGAAATCTATCCATTTTTATTCTTTTTTTTAAGAGAGAGAGTCTTTGTTGCCCTTGGTAGAGTGCTGTAGTGGCACAGCTCACAGCAACCTCCAGCTCTTGGGCTTAGGTGATTCTCCTGCCTCAGCCTTCTGAGTAGCTGAGACTACAGGTGCCCACCACAACGCCTGGCTAATTTTTTTGTTGTTGCAGTTTGGCTGGGTCCGCGTTTGAACCCACCCTGGATATATGGGGCCAGTGCCCTATTCACTGAGCCACAGGCGCCACCCTTTCTGTTTATTTTTACTTCCAAGCTTTCTGAGGTGCATTGTTTTAACTGGGTCTCTTCTAGTCAGCATATAGTTTACTTATTCAATCAGAGAATCTTTTTCTTTCTTAAGCTCAGTCAGAGCCTATCCTATTTATTGATATATGCTTGGTTCTGTCCTTTTATTTTAAATTTGTTTTTAATTTAATCTTGATACCTCCTTTTTTTTTTTTTTTTTAAAGAGATGGAGTCTCGCTCTGTTGCCTAGGCCGGAGCACAGTGGCATGTTCATAGTTCACTGTAAGTTAAAACTGCTGGGCTCAAGCAATCCTCCTGCCTCAGCCTCCAGAGCAGCAGGGACTACAGGTGTGCTCCCACACCCAGCTAATTTTTAATTTTTTTGTAAAGATGAGGTCTCACAGTGTTGCCCAGGCTGGTTTCAATCTCCTGGGCTCAAGCAATCCTTCTGCCTCAGTCTCCAAAAGTGCTAAGATTACAGGCATGAGTCTCCATACCTGGGCCTCTTTGGTATTTAAAATCATTTGATACATGATCTGGGTTCTTTGTAGTGTATGTATATAAACATAAACTATGTAAATATATATATGCACACAAACATAAACTATGTGTGTATATATATATATATATATATACAAAAAAAATTTTTTTTTTCTTAGAGATGAGGTCTTATTTTGTTGCCCAGGCTGGAGTGCAATGGTACAATCATAGCTCACTATAGCCTCCAGCTCCTGGGTTCAAGCAATCCTCCTCCCTTAGCCACCTAAGTAACTGGGACTATAGGCATAGGCCACCACACCTGGCTAATTTTTAAATTTTTTGTAGAGGTGAGGCCTTGCTACATTGACCACGCTGGTCTCAAACTCCTGACCTCATGTGATCCTTCTGCCTCAGCCCTCGCAAAGTGCTGGGATTACAGCCCTTACGTCCAGCCTGTGTATTTTATTTTTTTTAGAGACAGAGTCTTATTTTGTCACCCTCAGTAGAGAGCTGTGCCATCACAGCTCATAGCAACCTCTAGCTCTTGGGCTTAGGTGATTCTCTTGCTTCAGCCTCCCAAGTAGCTGGGACTAAAGTTGCCCACCACAACACCTGCTATGTTTTTGTTGCAGTTTGGCTGGGGCTGGGTTTGAACCTACTACCCTCAGTATATGGGCTGGTGCCCTACTCACTGAGCCACAGGTGCTGCCCCGGCCTGTGTATTTTTTTGCAGGTTTTGGCTGGGGCTGGGTTTGAACCCACCACCTCCAGGCATATGGGGCCGCTGCCCTACCCCTTTGAGCCACAGGTACCTCCCATAGACTGTGTATTTTTAATCTAAAAATTTGGGGTGGGGAATTAATCTGCTAGTTTTTAATCTACCATGTATTGAGTACTTACTATGTATAAAACACTGTACTAATACCTCTGACACTATTATCTAATTTTAACTTCATAATAACTCTATAAAGAAGCTGTTTATTGGCTGGGCATGGTGGCTCACACTTGAAATCCTAACACTCCAGGAGTGCCAAGGCAGGAGGATTGCTTGAGATCAGGAGCTTAAGACAGCCTGAGCGGCTCGGTGCCTGTGGCTCAAGTGGCTAAGGCGCCAGCCACATACACCTAAGGTGGTGGGTTCGAATCCAGCCCGGGCCTGCCAAACAACAATGATGGCTGCAACCAAAAAATAGCTGGGCGTTGTGGCGGGCGCCTGTGGTCCCAGCTACTTGGGAGGCTGAGGCAGGAGACTTGCTTGAGCCCAGGAGTTGGAGGTTGCTGTGAGCTGTGATGCCGCAGCACTCTACCCAGGGGGACAGCTTGAGGCTCTGTCTCAAAAAAAAAAAAAAAAAGACCAGCTTGAGTGAGAGTAAGACCTTGTCTCTAAAAAAACAGAAGGCTGGGCACAGTGGCACGCCTATAGTCCTAGCATTCTGGGAGGCTGAGGCGGGTGGATTGCCTGAGCTCACAGGTTTGAGACCAGCCTGAACCAGAGTGAGACCTTGTCTCTAAAAATAGCCGGGTGTTGTGGCAGGCGCCTGTAGTCCCAGCTACTTGAGAGGCTGAGGCAAAAGAATTGCCTGAGTCCAAGAGTTGGAGCTATGACGCCACAGCACTCTACTGAGGATGATAAAATGAGACTCTGTCTCTTAAAAAAAAAAAATACACAGGCTGGATGTGAGGGCTCACACCTGTAATCCTAGCTACTTGGGAGGCTAAGGCAGGTGGCTTATTTCTGCCCAGGAGTTTGAAGCTGCAGTGACTTATGATGATGCCATGGCACTCTAACCAGGTGACAAAGCAAGACTCTGCCTCATAAAAAAAAAAAAAAAAGCAGGTGCTTATTGTCACTCATTATTATACCATCTTATAGGAATAATAGATGCTTAGGCTCAGTGTCCATAGCTCAGTGGTTAGGGGGCTGGCCACATACACTGGGGCTGGCAGGTTTGAAACCAGCCTGGGCCTGCTAAACAACAATGACAACTACAACAAAAAAATAGCTGGGTGTTGTAGAGGTCGCCCAGCTACTTGGGAGGCTGAAGCAAGAGAATCGCTTAAGCCGAAGAGTTTGAGGTTGCTGTGAGCTGTGTTGGCAGGGCACTGTACCAAGGGTGACTCTGTCTCCAAAAAAAGGATGCTTAAAGAAACTAAATTATTGATGACAGTCATGTAAATGTACTGGAACTTTTTTATTAAAGGAACTTTTCCAAATATTTATTTAAAAAGAAAAAGAAACTAAATTGCTTAAGGTCACATGGTTAGTGGGTTCACAGCCAGGGTTCACAGCTGGGTTCACAACCAGGTCTGATGCCAATGCTTGTGCCTTCGGCACATGCTGTAGGCTCTTCTTTCTCTGACCTTACCTGGAAGCCTGGGTTGTTGTCCCTAGGGAGTGGGGTTGGGGTAGTTTGTTGACACCCTCTCTGCCCCATAATAAGGTACAGTCAGCCTTTAGTATCCATGGGGGTGGTGGTTAGTTTCAAACTCCTCAGATGCTTGAGTCCCTTATATGAAATGGTATAGTATTTGCCTATATCCTATGCACATCTTCCTTATACATTATTTGTAGGTTACTTATCATACCTAAATACTATCTGAATAGTTGTTATACTGTATTGTTTTTACATTTGTTTCTTTTAAGATTGGATTTTCTTTTTCAGCTTTTTTGTTTTTTTAATTGAGACAAAGTCTTACTTTGTCACCCTCGGTAGAGTGCCATGGCGTCATTGAGCACAGAAACCTCAAATTCTTGGACTCAAGCAGTTCTCTTGTCGCAGCCTCCCAAATACTGGGACTATAGGTGTCTGCCACAAAGCCTGGCTATTTTTAGAGACTGGGTCTTGCTCTTGCTCAGGCTGGTCTCAAACTCCTGAGCTCAGGCAATACACCCACCTTGGCCTCCCAGAATGCTAGGATTACAAGTGTGAGCCACCACGCCTGGCCTTTTCCAGCTGTTTTTGATGTGCAGTTGGTCGAATCCAAAGATCCAGACCCATGGTGATAGAGGGCCAAATATATTACAAGACCTCTTTGTAATGGTCAAACCGAATATTTCTGGAGCCTGGCCAACACTGAACATTTCTCTTTCTCCCCAATGCCCAAGTTCACCCAGGAGATGTCTTGACTATCCCCAGGGAGTCAGTTCCTCTCTGGCTGCCCTCATTTTCCCCAACCCCTACCCAGTTCCCTTACCTGGCCACCTGGTTGATGACAGGAGCAAAGTAGGTGGGCCCATAGAGCTGCACTGTGCGCAGGCTCTGGAAATAGCTCTCCAGCACACCCTCGATGCCCACACAGTTGGGGTCCTCATCATTGTTGTTCTGTCAAAGAATGTACCCTGCCAGGCTGAGCCTGTGCAGGGTATTCCCAGGAGTGCTCTGATCCCAGCTCACTCCTTCCTTTTTCCATCAGTACCTTTCGTGCTCCCCTCCAAACCCAGGCCTGCTCCCCTCCCTGCTTTGCCACCCTCTCATGGCTTCCTACTCCTCTGCAGGCCCTTGCCCGCTGAAGCAATGTAAATAGAAGAAATTCATCAACTTAGGTGGGCAAGATGCCAGGGCATGGAGTATAGGCTCTGGCTCATACCATACCAGGGGGAATTGGTGGGAGATCCGTCCCTCTGGGGGCAGTTTAGCCCCAAAGCCATAAGCTGGGAAGAGCTTGTCACTGTCATAGTCCTGGATGATCTCTCCCACTGCCTTGAGGGCCATGGCATAGGCGCTGAGCTGGTAGGGACTCATGTAGTGCAGGGAGGTAGGCTGCAGGGGGTTCCCTGTAGGGACACAGGAGCCCCAGCCTCTTGTTCACTTGGACCATCCTTTTGTTTGCCTGCTTATCTTGTATGCAGCCATTTACCTATATCTGCTTATCCACCCTCTACCCATATACTCCCTTATTAATTTACCCAATCATCTATCTGTTCATTTGTCCATCTATCTACCTACTCATCCCTATATCTTTTTTTCATCTCGGTATCTATATGTCCATTTATCCCCCTACCCACACATCCATCTACCTATCTACCTGGCCATACATCCATCTTTCAATCTATCTATCTATCCATTCTATCCACCTACCTCTTCATTCTCTTCAACAGGTCGTCCATTCATTCACTTGTTCACCTGCTATTTCTCTTCCTTTTCAGTCCATCCATCCAGCTGTCCCTCTCCATTTTACTCATTACTTGTCTGTTCTCATATGGATACATCCCCCCATTCATTCCCCCATCAGCTCACCTATTTTCTCAACTTAAACATCTATCCATCTGTCCATCCCTGCATTTACTTGCTCAACATACTGTATTCACTTACTAATCCATGTACCCACTCTGTTCATCAGTATAGCCATCCACTCATTCCTCACTACCCATTCACCTGTCCATCTCTCATTATACCCTCATTCTCTCCCATCCATACATTTACTCACCCACCTATTGAGCCATTTATCCTTTCTTTGATTCACCTACTCATCTATTTTCCTGTATTCTCTGGCACCCTTGTACCCAATAATATCCCTCCAACACTCCTACCCCAGTACCATTCTGGCTGAGATTTTACCTAGGTCTGGGCTTTTTGGGTAAGTAAACTCTTATTTCCAGCTAGGAATATAGGCTGATCCTTAGTGAATTCCCCCTCCCCCCACCAACATTCCCCCATCCATGCCTCACCATTGGAAGCTGTGAAGTCAATAGCTACTGTGAAGTTCAGCTGTGTCCTGTTGGGGAATGAGTTGAGAAGTGAGGAACTAACACCTATTACACTAGTATTTCTCAAACATTAATGGGCACCTGGATCATCTGGGGCTCATGTTAAAATCAGATTCTGATCCAGATAGTCCGGGTATCTGACAAACTTCCAAATGATACTGCTGTTACTGGCTCATGGACTATATTTTGGGTAACAGAATTAAAAATCTGCCCTGTGATAAGGTACAGAGAAGCAAGTTCATTTCCCAGGCCTTCCTCCCTCCATCAAACCAAACAGAATGTCCCCTACAGTCTGCTTGCATTTCCCCTCTCTTGGCCTTTCTCTCTTGCCTGACTGTAACTTTTGTCCGGGCCCCAGTCAGGTTATTGGGGCCACCACTGAAGTCAGGTTATTGGGGCCATCACCGGTTTGGCAGCCATCTTCTCAGTGGGGATGGGAAACTAAGAATGAAATGCAGCCCCTTGAAGAGAACTAAGGAAACAGTTTGCATTTTACAGAGCACTTTAGAGTTTGCCAAGTGTTTTAAATAAAGTTTATCTTCATGATACCATTGGTCCTGACTATCCAAAAATAAGAAATCTGGGGCTCAGAACTGGAAGTGACTTACTGCTGGGCTGCTGGCCCAGAGCTTGGCCCATGACTCACCCTCCCTTGATGTAATCAACAAAAGTGAATTCAGAGTCCACAGAGAAGGAGAGCAGTGTCACCTGTGGGACAGAAGAGATAGCCCTGATACTTTGGAAAGGGTGGCAGAAGGAAGAGGGGCATAGTAGGTCTTAAGGGAGAGGAATATGTGGGAGACAGGTGATTCCACCCCGTGCCCCAACCTGTCCCATCCTGTTGAATTTATGAAAAGAAATAAAAAGGGGAAGCTGTCAGAAACACAGGTGGATTTCCAAAAGTGTATTAAATTGGAATGTCAGGAATACTGGGTCACACTTGTAATCCTAGCACTTTGGGATGCCAAGTTGGGAGGATCTCTTATTGTCAGGAGTTCAAGACCAGCCTGGGCAGCAGAGTGAGACCCAGTCTTTCCAAAGTAATAATAAAAAAATTAGCCGGGCACGGTGACATGCACCTGTAGTCCCAGCTACTTGGGAGGCTGAGGCAGGAGGATGTCTATAGCCCAGGAGTTGGAGCCTGTAGTGGGCTATGATATTGCCATTGCATTCCAGCCTGGGTAACAGAGGGAGTCCCTGACTCTAAAAGTAAATTAATAAATTGGGAAGTGCAATTTAGGGTGTTTTTCTCTTTTATACTGCAAAATAGTAAAGATTGAAAAATTTCCCTGCGTGAGGAAAAGACAAAACAAAGAAAACCTTAAGTGGTACACCTGTGCCCGCTGCCGTTCCCTCCCTCCAGTATTTGTCATGCTATGTCAGTGGGGACAGACACAGAAGGATCCAGGGAGGGCCGGACCTCCAGGGAGCACTCACAGTTCCTGAGTTGACATATTTCTTCTTCTTACATTTCTTCCGAGGGTTAAGTACCTAAGTAGAGGAAGGTAACAGTGATGGTGAGAAACAGAGGAAGAGAGCTCCAGACAGTGCACTGTAGGAGGGAGGCCTTGGGTTAGCTGAGCAGGGCCGGACCTCTCACCTCATACACTGTGAACTGGTTCTGGGCCTTGCTCAGCTCCCGGTAGCTGGTGGTAAACTCACCGATGAAATCGTGGCTGTAATGAGGCCAGGGGTAGGTAAGCAGCAGTAGCTGCTGGTTTACAGCCAGGCCTGAACCCAGTCTTTTCATTTCTTTCATCCTACCCCCCCTACTTAGGCTGCAGGGTATGAGGGCTGGGGCCAGAAGGGGGGCCAAACTAAGGGAAAGAAAAGGGAAGAGACAGTGTACCAGAAAGACAATGCAGGGGATCCTGTGTCCCCAAGACCCTGGTATCTGTCATCACCCTTCTTGGTTCCCAAGGCTACTTTGGCATTCCTACTGAATGTACCACATATTGCAGAGAACTTTTTGGGTTAAACATAGGAGAAGGGACTGTGTGGGGCAGTTCTACCTTCCATTGCGGTCCCAGTCATACACATCAATCTTCACTGTTCTGAAATGCAAGAGATAAACAGGCTGGGTGTGTATGATGCTCTCATCCACTTGACTGTAAGCAAATCACTTCCCCATCCACTCATCTGTCCTTCCATCATCCCGTTCATCTTTTAATCTACTTCTCCTCCTAACTATTCACTCATCAGTCCTTACACGTACCCTACCACTGTTATTACTGCTACTGCTGCTGTTAGCACCACTATTACTCTTTTTTTTTTTAACCACTTATTGAGTCTTATTGTATTCCAGGCATTGTTCTCAGCAGTCTCACAGATTGTCTCATTTAATTTAACAACCACCCTGGATAAAGTAAATACTACTATTATTGGATAAGGAAATTGAGATACAAGAAAAAAAACAAGTAATGTTGCTAAGATCCCTTAGCTTATAAGTGACTGAGCTGAGATTCAAACTCTAACCTGGTTTCCAAGACCTAGTTCCTAACTATCCTGCCTGAGTCATTTCATATTTCTTATCTATCAGTGTACCAATCCATTTAACTATCTATCCATCTAACCACCCATTGACTAATACATTAGCAAATGTATAGTAATACACATAATACATATACTAATGTATTACTTATCAATTTGTTTCTTTATCCATTTATCAAACTATACATCCAGCTGTTGACTTACTCACTGATGCATATAAACATCCATCTGTTGATTCATCTGCCCAACCAAGCACCCAAGTATATAACATCAGTCCATCTGGTCATCCATTTATCTGCGTAACTATACTAATACTCATCCATCTATGTGCCCATCCATCCTTCCATCCTCTCACCTATCCCTATCCACCTGTCTTTATACTACCTACTTATTCATTTATTAGGTTAGCCTGTCTATTTTTACTCATCCATCAACTAATTCACTCACTAATCCATCAAGTCATCAATTTTCCATCCATTCATCTGTCCATCAATCCACCTGTCACTCCACCTATCCTTCTCACTTGCTTTTTATTCATGCATCTGCCTCTCCTGGCATCCATCAAATTCTCATTTACCTGTCTTATCACTTATCTACCATGTATCAGCTCATCTATTTACTCATCCATCTGTTAATCCATCCGTCATTTGTCCATCCACAATCTACCCATCAGTCCAATTGTCCATTCGTCTGCTATCTATTTATTTATTTTCCCCTCTATCTACTCCCAATCTTGTTCCTTTTTTTTTTTTTTTTTTTTGAGACAGAGCCTTAAGCTGTGGCCCTGGGTAGTAGTTTGCTATGGCATCACAGCTCACAGCAACCTCCAACTCCTGGGCTCAAGCAATTTTCTTGCCTCCACCTCCCAAGTAGCTAGGACTATAGGTGCCTGCCACAATGCCCGGCTATTTTTTGGGTTGCAGCTGTCATTGTTGTATGGTGGGCTGGGCTGGATTCGAACCCGCCAGCTCAGGTGTGTGTGGCTGGCACCTTAGCCGCTTGAGCCATAGACACTGAGCCTCACCATTGTTCTTATATATCAATCCACACACCCATCCAACCATTCACTGGTTTATTCCTCCATCTGATCATCCATCCATGTATCTGCTCATTCATTTGTTCATCTGCACTTTCATCTACAATCCACCTACCGGTCCACCCATCCCCATCCATCCATGCGTAGTCCACCTATCCATCTATGTGGCTGTCCATATGCCTCCCCATCCATCCATCTTCATGCCCAGAAGTCTGTCTCATTGATCAGGACCCTCCAATACTATTATGTCACTTTTTTTTTTTTTTTTTTTTTGCAGTTTTGGCCAGGGCTGGGTTTGAACCCACCACTCTAGCATATGGGGCTGGTGCTCTACTCCTTTGAGCTACAGGCACTGCCCGTATTATGTCACTTCTGCCATCATTCTGGAAACCCCATTGTAATGTCCTTGGCCCTCTAGCTTAGGCCAAGCAGACCTGTCATAGTCTCCATTGCACAGTGCCCGCACAGGGATGCTGAAGGGCTGCCACACAGGATTCAGCGTGTTTTTCACAACCTCTGTCTTATGGCAGATAGTAAACCTGGAAGGGGAATGGAAGGATTAGAAGCTGGCTTGAGTGTAGGTCTAAATCTGTTAGAGATTCCTGAGAGTCCCCCACTTGTTAATCATATGCCCCCACCCCCAGCCTGAGAGCCCTGATGGCAGTGACTCACGTGCCATCCTCATTGCTCCTGTAGAACACAAGGAAGGGGTCTGATTTCCCAAAGAAGTCCTTCTTGTCCAGCTTGTTTGCACACAGCTGCATAGTGGCAATGTCCTAGGGATGGATGCAGCTGGGCTGTTGATACTCAAATTGCCTGTAGCCTTCAGACAGTCCACTAAAGGGAGTACGGGGAGAAGGGCGCTCCCAGATCTAGCACATGGACCTTACTGACCCGACAATTGCTAAGCTCCTCTGCAGTCAGCAATATGGTCCCACACTTCTTGCCTGGTACACCCCTGGAAGTGGAAAAAGCCTGTTAGTTATAGGAAGGAGGATAGACAGCAAAGATTGGGGTGGTCAATCTGGGACTGGGTAGGCCACTGGATTCAATTTTACATTTACTGACAGTCCCTTGAGTGTGTCTCCTTCTGTTCTGGGTGGCTCCTGGTAGGGAAGGGAGGGGTCTGCAGTCCGGTAGGAAGAGGTTAGACTAGCTTAGGTGGATATCTCATATGGTCGTGTAAGAAAGACACAGGATTTAAAGTCAGTAGACTCAGGATGGATTTTATGATTTTTAAGCTGTGTCACCCTGGGCAGGTCATTTCCCCTTTCTGGGCCTTAGTTTTCTTCACTGTGAAGTGGGAAAAATTACTTTCTGTCAGGCAATGAAGAGATATAAAGGAAAAGCAACTTATAAGCTTTATATGGTTATATTCTTCAAAGCAGACCCTGGTACTTACCATATGCCAGGTGCAATGCTACATACAGGATGGCCATATTTACTATTTAAAATAGCCAATTGCACACGAGATTTATGGCCACCCTGTAGAGTTGGCCAGTTGGCATTCTCCAGCTTTGTTAGACTGTGCCCTCAGGGAGCTTTTAGATGGTGGTAGAACATGAAAGGCAGTAGGCAAATGGAATGTGCACAGCAATTCTGAATCAGGGGGAGGAATTTCTGTCCAGACCCAGGGAGCAAAAGGGCTGGTTCCTGGTTGTAGTTGAGATACTTTTTGGAGACTGTGAAAAGTGAGAAAAAAATAAAAGGGATGGCTTGGCGCCTGTGGCTCAACCGGCTAAGGCGCCAGCCACGTACACCTGAGGTGGCGGGTTCGAATCC